TTTCCCCAATGCTCTCCCCCATCCCACAGAGGGAGGGGGGGAGTGAGCGAGTGGCTGCGTGGTGCTTAGTTGCCAGCCGGGTTAAACCACAACAGCAGCACATGAATTTTCATCGCATTACGTGTCACAAGAAGGCAGTACGTGTGTCCTGAGCTGGGTAGGATGGATAACATCAGCCCGTGTGCTCAGCAGAGGCAGACAAGGGCACAGTTCTTGCCTGTTGGCTCCATAAACTGCTGCCGGGGCCCGGAGCACCCCCGCGCTACCCGCACCCATCTGTTTGCCCCAGGGTTTGCTGCTGCCTACTCCATCGCCTTTTCTTGGGCCATCAACTTTCCCTCCTGACCTTTTCCTCCTCAGTGTCTCCAGTGATCTGTCATCTTTGGAGCACATCTCGCAGAGCGTAGTTATGGCATCTTTCAGTGCTTTCTAGCTCCGGGTGATGGTTTTGTAGCAGGGGTGTGGGCGGTTCTGGCTGGAGGAACAACATGGATCACCACGTATCCAGTGGGACTGGGATGAGAAATCGGGGGCACAAAGGGCTCCTCTCCAGCAACCGTAAAACTCCTTTGTGCCTCTGTGGGTGGGAGCAACTGGTCTCTCCCTTTCAGAGTCCCTGTATGTGTCCGAGTACTTCTCCCAGAGCGCACAGAAGCTGTCCTTCTACAGCTGGTATGGGAACGCCAAGCTCTTCCACTTCCGCGTGCCAGAAGACACCGTGCTGCTTCGCTGGCTCCTGCAAGCATCCCGGGGGAAAGGACCTGAGTGCACCGACATGGAGATCACAGTGTACGTATGTCCCTGTGCCAGTGCCTGCCCACGTGGGCTTCCTGCCCTTCTCTTGTCCTCGCTGCTCGTGGCGGTGGCTGGTTGGCTGTAGGAGGCTGGGCATCCGTTCCCCAGTTGCAGCAGCCATAGTTTCTTAACGTACTAGCACTGAATCTGTGTTTAAACCTGTAGGAGCGTTTCGTGTTGACGTTACCAGTGGATCTGGGGCTGTCTATCAGACGTGGTGTCTAAGAGACACCTTAGAAACACTGGAGAGAGCTTCACAGCGAGGCTGGTGTTGCTGCTCATGAGCAAAGGTGTTCCCAGACCTTTCCGTGCCTGGCAGGATCCTGTGCATGGTATCAAAGGATGTGACAGGACTACAAGGGGCTTGAGAGGACCCCAACTGATTGGAGATGGACAAATTCCTTGGTACAGAGGAAACTGAAGAGAGTGGGGACGCTTTTTGTGAGGGGTGCAGGCTGTGTGTGGAGCAGAGATAGGAGAGGAATGCTGAGTCCTGCGGACACAAGAGCATGAGAAGATTGCAAACTCAACACTAGTGGAAGAAATGTCACTTAAAGCAGTACTTGAGTTGTTGGGGGTTTTGAGGTCAAAAACTGGCAGGTGGGGCAAGACTCTGAGCTGTGTCTTGGGCGGGTCCCAAGTTCCCTGAGCAGGTTGTACCCTTAGAGACACGGGGGTCTCAGGCACCCACTCCACAGAGGTCTCGGCAGCGACTTGGTTGCTCCAGAGCAGCCTGGAACAAATGATCTTCCTGCTTTCCGCTTCCCAGAAAGGTTTCCAATAATTCGGGGATGTGAGGGACAAGGCAGCGCCTAAACGATACCCTAAGAAATGGAGAGCAGCCCAGCTAAGCTCAAACAGGTTAATAACACATTGCCTGTCACCTTTGCTTGCTGGACCTGTTGTGTCCGTTGTTCTATTGCAGTGCCATCCAAAAGCAAGCAAATAAACGCCGGGTTGGCTGCCCAAATAAATATCTCATGTATTACTTAACTGCCTGCTTTTCTGCTCCTTTGAACGTTGGGCTGCTTATCTGGAAAGCAGAAGTGCTGGTGTACTGAAGTTGGTCACGTGGACCTTCCTTGCTAAGCATCTTTTTAGTCTGTCTGCCCGGCCTCCTAAAACAGAAAATAGGGAAGGTGCAAACCTTAGCCAGAAAACGAAAGCTCTTCGTTGACGATTTAGCCTATATGGGGAATTTGCTGATGGTTATATAAAAGGACTGGTCTTGCGGCTGGGGCTTAACCTTAGTAAGTGTCGTGGAAATTTGCTTTCAGGCTTGATGGAACCATGTAAATCCTTATCCTAATAAGCAGCCAAGTTAAACCAATCTCTAAATAAATCCCGGATAAGCTAATAGCAGCCAGTCCTCACCAGTCCACTTGAAAATGTGGGGTTTTTTTTTTCCAGCCTGCTCCTTCTCCAATCGCGGGCCAAGCTGGGTGTCCACTGACGAGTTTGTATCCCGGTTTATCTTCCCGGTGTCTTTACATCCCTCAGTTTATTCACCACCTGGTTTCTTTCACAGGCACTTTCGCTATGGAGCCCCTCCTGTCATTAATCCACTGGGCACTCGTTTTCCTGCAAACGCGACCGTCCGTCCTTCCTACAACATAAGCATCACCCTGAGCAGCGCTGTGCAAAACACCACCTTTGTGAACGTCACCACCCCGGCTGCCGGAGACTGGTTCATTGCTGCCCATCTCCCCGAGGCTGCTGGCAGGATTGAAGTGAAGGTGAGGGTCCTGGTGAGGGTCTCGGCCACCGTACGCTGCCCAGCGCGTCCTGCCACAGCTGACCCCTCTGCTCTCCCCTCCTGCAGGGTTTCTCCACTCCGTGCCCCTATATGTTCCAGGCAGATATGTTTGTGCTCAGACTCACTGATATGCCTGTTCTGGAGCCTGGCGTTGCCGTGCCGCAAACCATCGTCTCACCTGCTAAGCCGCTGCACGTCAAGTGAGTGAGAGCAGCGGATGGAAAAACCTGAGGCCGTGGCGGGGTGGGATTTCCCATGGGTGCTGCTTGGGGGAAGCTGCTGATGTTCCCACGTGGAGCTGGAGCTGGGCAGTCTCCGAGCCTGTTTGCCGAGCTCCCTGCAGCAGTGGTAGGGTTTGCATGGGGAGCTCACGGGTGCCCTTGTCCAACTCATCCCAGGTGGTCTTGGAGGTTCAGCTGCAGGAGTTTTAGTTCTTTGAGATGCTTCCCTTGGGAAGGATTTTCACAACGCCAGCCAGGGCAATCTTGTTCTTGCCACAAAGCCCCACGGTGAAGGCCGGCTTACTTGTGTTGAGAGTACAGGCTCTGCGAACTGCTGGTCCCTCCTCCTGCAGGGTCTTCGTTCCCAAGCACGCGGCGGGGATGCGGTTTGAGCTGCGAAGCTGCGTAACAAGTGAGCAGAAGGTGTGCGCCGTGCGGGTAGTGCTGGGCTCCGTCACGCTGCCCCAGTCCTTCCAGAGGATTGTCACCTGCACGGGGAATGGGAACTGCAGCCTGGCCCTGGACTCACCGCCCTGGGAGAAGTGGCTGCAGATCATGGTGGAGAGTCTGGGCGCTGCCAATGCCAGCGTGTCGGTGGAGATGCTGGCTTCTTTCACAGGTGGGCTTCTACTTTTTCTAGCCCTATGGGAAGGACCAGAGAGAACTTTGTCTGCTGTGCCTCTCTTGGGGCTTTGGGTTGTAGTGGCCTGCGTGCCCTGGCATGCTGGTTGCTGGGCATAACCCTGGAGGCTGAGACCTAGTTGTTACTCTGCGGTCAAAAGTGAAGGCTCCAGTGTTCCCCCAAGAGAGGTACTCCCTGGAGCTGCCTGTTTTGGAAACGCCTCAAAAGTTCAGGGTCTCTGAAGTAACGATGTTTTCCAAAGGCTGTTTGGGAAACAGTGGCTGGCTTAAAATCTGGTGGGGAGAATAGTTTTGGGTAGATGCAGCAGACTGTAATGATATGTTGACTGTCGATTGGCCGTAAGCAAGCTACAGATGGGAAACCATCTCACAGGGGTTTACTCGGGGTAATGTCTTGGGTTGTAGTGGGGGGATGTCAACATTTCAGGTGACACCTTGTGATTCAGGAGGTCACAAGGTCCTTGTGGCTGTAATAGGCACCTTTGTGTCCTCTTATTACGTGACCATAATCCCTGTTTGACTCTTGGAAGCTCACCAAGTAGGTACATTTTGCAAGTTTTCTTCTGCTGGGGGTTCTGCCATCCCCTCCTCAAAGCAGAGCCTTGGCCCATGGGTTGGAGGGCCTGGCACTGGCAGCCGAGGTGTTAGAGGGGAGCACTGGGAATCTCTGGGAGCAATGGGCAGGCTACAGCAGTGGGACCCCCAAGTGTCACATTCAGCTCCATCTGCCATGTCCCGATGGCTTGTCCCTGCAGCTACGTGGGCTTGGCTTCTCTCTTCTGCTCAGCCTTGTCTGCTCGCGTCTGGGGAACTGGTAGAGACTTCTATGCAGCCCGTGGCTACGGGACAGCTAAGTGCCGTGCCCTGCCACCGGCAAGTGAATGCTCCCAGGGTGCCTTAATGTGTTGCGTCCTGTGCGTTATCCCCTCTTCTCTTCCCACCTTCCCTGCAGCTGCAGGGTGCTTCCACCCACTGTACCACTGTCTGGCTTCCACCGGTGTCCCAGCCTGTGGACGCTAATGCTGGAGTTCCTCCTGCTGGAGTTCCTCCTGCAAAGATGGTGCCTTTCAGGGGCTGTAGCCCGTGCCGCAGTGCATGAACCAGCTGAAAAACCCCCAGTCTGCGCTATCATTTGGAGGTCTGGAGCTGCTGGGCCCCCACCTGGACGAGGTGCTAGTCCTGGCTGTGCTGATTCCTCTCCTTTTTTTTTTTTTTTTTTTTTTTTTTTTTTAACAGCTTGCAGACCAGGAAGTACCAGTTCATTCCTGAACTTCAGCAGCCTAAACCAGAGCCAAACTGGCCCCAGACCAGGCGGCGCAGGAGCAGCAGGGAGCTCCGTGCTGCCCACCAGAGAGGCTTCACGCAATGCGTCCAGCCAGAGGAGCTTCTGTCTGCAGAACCAGCCCGTCGTTCGTGAGGACCTAGATGTGGTCTCTGTGCGCTACAGGCTCTTGAATAGTCCCAGCGTGCCTGTGAACTCCCTCTCCCCAACCCTCCTCCTCCTCAACCTGAACACTGGCATGGACAGCGGGGGTTCCCTCGTGGTCAGTCTCCTGCTTAACAAGGTGCGGAGGCTGGTTGATGGGATTGTTCCCCCCTTGGTGGGACTTTGCCCCTGCTCCCAGGCTGGTTTGTCAGCCAGCTCCAGGGGCTGTAGGAACCGGTGGGACTATTTGTCTTTCTTCTTGTTGTCACAAAACACTCTGAGTCTGTTTTAGCCGCTTCCAGCGTGTCTCACCTGCCAGTTCCGATGCCACAACTTGCTGGCATGTGGTGGCGGTGACGCAGAGGAGACAAAATGGAAAGCAGCTGCAGTGCCATCTTCTCCATGGGAGCCTGGCGCCTTGCCACCAGGAAAGGAGACCGAGCAGGGAAACCCAGGGATATTCCTGCCCAAGTCACTGACTCCCAGGCTCCTTCAGTGACACCCCAAAATCAGCCCACCTGAAATCCTATGGAACTTCCTGAGGGCTGGAGCAGGGTTCAGCCCTGATGTCCTGCTGCCTCTGACTTCTGCCACCCTGTCCTCGTGCTGAAGCGATGTGCGAGTGTCCCAGCTTTGGGGCCGTTCCCCCCATGCGGTCCCCTGGAGGGCGGCTCTCTTGCCTTTCAGCCAGCACCTAACAGGGTGGCAGTGCAGGGTGCGGTGAACACGGATGGGTTTGCCCAGAAAAAGCCGCTGAATTGATGGCTGACCTTGATCCGCAGGATTTATTGTCACCTGCTGCTCCCGCGTAACTGCGGGCAGCGGGGGACATGAGTTGTGTGGCGGGGGGGTGGCATCGGGGCGCTCTGACGTGGGACACTGCTCTCTTTGCACAGACGTCCGTGGGCCTGGCCAATGCCACTGTGGTGGCCTGTGTGAGTGCTGCTTCACCGGTGCTGTCCCTCAACGCCACGCGGAACTGCAGCACAGGTATGAGAGCCACCGGCACCCGCTACCGGCTCAGCTACACCATCGCTTTTCGGCCTCGGGAACTGTTAACTG